GGTCTTGGCCTCTTGATTAAATGGTTGTTGTTTTGCTCCTTCTCAATTTATATAACTAATTTAAGCCTTCTTTAAAGTGAAAATTTTTAACTTTGGCCTCCCTGAAATTCTGAACTTCTATGTTGGTCCCAAAATATAAACACTTTAAATATAATTGTAACATAATTCAATTGATTTAGCACTCATTAGCAGTGACGGAGTTAATAAATTTAAATCTTATATAGATTTGTTTTCCAAAAAAAATTTGGACCCTAATCTATTATGATTCTATTCATATTCGTTAACAGCTTGGCAAGCACTAAAATTCGAATTTTGACAATAATCTCGTTTGTGAATGATATAAAAGTATCACTTTAACTTCTTTTGTAAAATCAATAATATACTCAAACCCTAAACTGGAATATCCCTCACCTAAACTTAGTTTCCATATGTACATGAGATAAAAGAATGAAATGAATAGCATATGAATAGCATGTGAAACTGGAGATTGAGTAAACGGTTGAAATTTCCTATATCACTACATATTGGTCGTTATCAACGTCAGCTATATCTTTAATGATGTAATTAATCAATTAATTAATGCTTTTATTTATTTTCTACCACCTTTATTTCTTTTTCAAATTTCCAATTAAAGCTTTCAATAATGTTGGGGATGATCAACGCTTTAGGATAATCCACGGGTCGCTTTAGAAAGATAAATTTAAGTCAAGGTTAAAGTAGTTCATGACTTTTTTTTTTCTGGATTCCTCGTTGTTTCTCTTGATTAATCTGGATCAATGTCACATTTAGTTTTGATGGGTAAATATCTCAACGGAGATTTTTTATATACCCAAAGCTTAAAACTCAAGACATATTAAACGATATCAAACTACCTTGAATCAACCTCCGTTAGTTCGTTATTTAAATTTATAGAAATAAAAAAATTCGTTTGAAATTTGTGAACAGAGGCTAAACATAATAAAGAATCGGCAGTTCAGAATTTCTTAAAAATTGTGAAAATTTAAATATGAAAGTTTTATCGAAAAAACATGATATAATTTTACATTTATTTCATAAAATCACGTATAAACTTATAAACGTATATAGTTTTGAAAGATGGAGTTAATGCATGAATCAAGTGACCTTAATGGTTAAAAGGAAATATTATCTTTAGAAGCATCGGATTTGAGCATGTCATCTAGAAAGATATTTGAACGTTTTTTTATAAAATGATTGAGAGTCTTTCGAACATATATTATCTTGTAATCACTTTATACTAATAAAAATATTAAATATTTTCACAAAGATGAATGTGTTTAGATAAAGTTTGAAAGTTTAAATTTAAACAAAATTTAAAACTTATATTTTAAGTAAATTTAAGTGAATATGTATGACATACAAGAAAAGACATGGCAATAATCTTAGTTCATTAAGTTCTAAAATCGATTTCGTACAACCCCCTCTTTCCCTCTGATCCAATAAAAAAAATTAGGGTAAGTAAGAGTCTGGTCACTTAAAATAAACAATTTGCAGTTTAAATCCTTCAAACTTTAAAGTTAATAAAATTACATTTTGACCATTTCAAAATAACAAGCTTTTAGTTTAATGATAAGATTATATTTCGACTCTTCAAAATTTAAAGTATATATTTCAAACAAATTTAAATAACTATGTATACCATGTTTGAACTATAAATAAAACTAGTCAGGGATAGGTAAAAGATTTGATAACCTAAAACGATAAAATTACAATTCAAATCCTTCAAACTTAAAAATTATAAGGTAATGCTATAATAAACTTACATTTTAACTCTCTAAAAATAATAAAATTACAATTTAATCCTTTTGAAGTTATAAAATATATTTTATCTCTTAATGTTCGAATTAATCCTAAAATCAAACTCAAACTGATCAATGAACAGCTGTAGGCATGTCCACCTCTATCATAAAGCTGAATTAGTAGGAGCCAACTGGTGGCTGTAGGCAAAGTATTATCAAACGAAAATAATAATGGTGCTTTTCCACAAAGAGCAGTTGAGAAAATCATGAAGGCAAAGAAAGAGAAGATTCGTTTGATAAAAAGAAGAAGATATCCCTTTCTTTCCTTCAAATATCAAAGGTTTCAACACTAAGCAATCTCTCTCCCTTTTTAAAAAGAACCCCCCACATTAGTCCACCAAATTCCATCATTCCTTGAACCAAAACAAAAAAAGAAAACAAACCCAGTAAGGCCCATCCCTTTTTGGCTTCAATTTTCCCTTTTGATTTCTCGAAAAGGGGGAGAATCAATGTTGCAGAAACAGCCTACTAGTAAGTCTTCTTTCAGGAATCTCTCAAAGCACTTGAAGCTGATATACAGCATGCTAATAGCTTGTAAGTTTTTTTTTTTTTTCTGGGAAAATTCTTGCTTTGTTCTGAAATTTCTGTTGCTGAGCATTTTGTTTTGATTATTTTTTGTTTATGATCGATGGATGAATTTTGATTGTGTTGAATTATCAGTTATGTGTTTGTGGAGGTTGATATCTTTCTTCCATGGGTTGCTTGGTTGTAAAAAAAAACGATGTCGAATTGAGATTTTGGTCCTTTTTTTATGCTCAATTTTTCATTTTAGTCCGTGCATTTCAATTTAATGGTCTCAACTTTATAATAGTATATATATTTAATCCTGTTAACTACTTTGGTTAAAATGTTGATTTTTCTTTTAAAAAAATGGTTGGACGGAGCCATGATGATAGATTAAAAGACAAATATAAATAGTAATATAAAATAGGTCAAGGTCTAATTTTTAGGCTAAAATTAAAAAAATTACGGATTGAAGTTTTTGCTTAATTTACTAAGAAGTATTTAAATGAAAACAATGAGGATATTGCTTTTTTGCCTAGGGACTTAAGAAGTATTTAACCACAAAATGGGGGCCGGGGATTAATTTGCCTAGTTAAAAATCTTATAGGGACCTAAGAAGTAATTAAGTTCAAAAGATTAGGGGTAGGGTTTGACTTGTATAGTTTCAAAACCTTCAGAGACGTAAAATGTAGTTGAACCTTTTTATCAATAAAATTATAAAAATAGATGGGTGAAATTATGTCATATCAAAGTATAAAGATTAAATTCCAAATTTGGCATGGTATAAGTACCAAAACCGTAATTTGACCGAAGGAGAATAATTGCTTTGAACTTGAAGAATTTCGTCCCTTGTTATTTCCCCCCCTTCTTTTTATTATGTTCTTGAAATATGTCGGTTCGGGTGTGTTAATTTTTCTTTTCGAAACATTCTACACTCGAGTGCAAATACTTGTTCGAAACATGTCGAACATGGATGTCGGAAAATGTACATTGATTGTATTTTTTGGGGTTGAATTTGCAGGGCCGCTGCTCTGCCGAGGGACTTCGGTGGGAATTGCTACCAAATGAGATTATCTTATAGCCCTTTCGCGCCATTCATCTTGTTTCTTGTTGAATGGATGGATTATAGTTGTACAGATACCCTTCCTAGTTACTTAGGCCTTCTCCATGTACTCGTATACAAGGTGAGCTATTACGATTCTTTGTTTTGGACGCTTAAATACCCGTATCGCTTACACCCAAGTCGATTCAGGCGTATGTCGATGGAGTTCCGGCTTTATCCTCTAAAGATAAAAAAGCAACTCTAAGGGAATTTTATGGTATGTTTTACTCTGTTGTTTCTTGGTTCTTCAGCTCTCCTTTTTAACTTATTTTGCAACGCACTTATTGGAATATCATTTGCAGCTGTTATTTACCCTTTGCTAAAGCAACTTGGTGACGAATTTATTGAATCAGAAGATAATAAAAAAGGCATGTGGACAGAAGTTTCGAGCCGGAAGAAAGGTGAAGATCGCAAGAGAGTTGCCGAGAAAGATTCGGAGAGAGACGACGAATGCGGAATATGCATGGAGAATTGCACGAAACTGGTGCTTCCGAATTGTGGCCACGCCTTATGTATTAGCTGCTTCCATGAATGGTATTCCCAGTCTCCCCTTCATGTTGTTTTTGTCCTAAGGTTGCCTATGGTTAAACATTTTAGTTAGTCTTGATTGTCGATGCTGTATCGGAGTTGCAGGAATGTCCGTTCGCAGTCGTGCCCTTTCTGCCGTGGCAGTTTAAAGAGAGTGAAGTCGAAAGATCTTTGGGTTCTCACAAGTTGCAGTGACATACTCGACGTGGTTACTCTTGCAAAGGAGAACTTGTGGCGCCTATACCTCTACTTCGAAAAGCTGCCTCTCGTAATGCCCGAGACACATTCATATGTATCAGATTACATGATCTGACTACAACACCACCATCATCCACCCATTGTACATAAATTATCGTCTGAGGGAAGTCCAAATTCATCGATCAAAACCCTCCGGTGGTCTGTTCAACGGCAGCTGTATATAGTACTTGGCCGCCGCTTTCGTGTCCCGAGGGTTTTGGAACAAGCAAGCAGGTTAGTCTTGCCTAGAAAAACCTGATTATTTATGTAGAAGATAAATAGATGAAAATCTGAGAATAAAAAAGAGAGTATTGGCATTCAACTCAGTTGTTTTTTTTCAAACCTGAGTTGTAATGTAAAAATTTGAACAGATCCTCATCAATGAATTCTTCTTAGTTATTCCAACTCGGATGTATCGTTTTCGTGGTTTCATCTTTTTAAAATCGCAATGTTATAAATTAATGCAATGGTGAAGTTGCACTTTGCCCCCCAAAATGATAAAATTGCTTTTTAGTCCTTTTTAAATTGTAAAGTTATATGAGCTATTATAATGGCGAAATTGCATTTTAATCTTCAAAAATTTATAATTCAATTTTAGTCCCACTATGAAGATTTTCTAGCTTATTTATACGGTTAGATAACACTAGGAATCTAGGGTTCTAAGATAAGATTTTGTAGTGTGTCAATTTGGTTTTATAATGAATTGAATCAACAGTAATCTACCCTTTCACAACAAGCAAAATATTACGCTTATACTTGTTTGGGCATAATGTGAAAAGAAGCCTTTAACTTTACATTTTTTACAATGTTGTCCTCAACATTTATAGTCATTGTACACTAAAATCCAAAATCATACCATCATCACCACCCTTTGGAATATTTATATACAAAACCCCATCTTTAACCTCAGCTTTAATTTTCTCAAACACCACATTCTCAGGCAAAGCAATTCTTCTGTTGTATTTCCCATAACTCTTAGCAGACCATTCATTCTCTTCATCCTCTTCGCCGCCATTAACGTCTTTCTTAAGCTTCTTCTCGGCTTCTACGACCAACACCTTGTCTTCCACCCAAACTTTAACATCATCTTTGGTCATCCCGGGCATGTCGAACCTCATCTTGTATTCTTTGTCTCCTTCTTTGATCTCCCACGGCGTCCGTCCGCGGCTGTAAGTGCCGGTTTCAGTCGGTAACGTCGATGGCCACGAGCCGGAGTAAGCAAAAGGGTCTTCCATGATTCTCTCCATTGTTTCCATCATTTGCTGCGCTGTTCTTGCTGTTGGGAACCTGTCCCATAACCCTGTTTTTTTAATCAAGTTAAAATAAATATTATGTTTGAAATTAATAATATTAAGTTAAAATTAATATAAAGTATACCAAAATGATTTTCAAAAATTATAAAATGATGATTGGCTTTTATAAAAATTATAAAATAATAATCAGATTTATCTAAATTTTATTATTTATTATAATAACACACTAAATATTTTATAATAATTAGATAAATTCTAATAATTATTTTATAATTTTTAAAATTTAAATAATCAAATAAATATTATTCAGTGATCTTTTATGTGCTTTATTCACAAATTTATTATAAATAAAATCCATATTTATATTATATACTAAATTTATAATGAATTAATATTATGAATCAATTCGATATTAATTTAATTAATAAATAAGTACGGATTAAACAAGGGAGTTAGAGGGCCTTGACCTCAAAATTATTTTGTTTAATAATAATTATAGTCACTATTAGTTTAGATACTTATAAAATTAAATATGAATTTCTTCTAAATTTTAAAATTAAATATGAATTTCTTCTAAATTTTAAAATTAAATATTTATTAGATACCTATTAACTTAAAAGTCAAACAATTTAGTCCCCGATTTCATGCCTACTAGCAAATTCAATAACTTGGAGTTGAATTTTTAAAACTAGTCCATAACATACCAACTGGTGCAACAGGGCCAAGTCTTTTCCTGTTGGATTGAGAGCCACGTTCTTGTTTACCAACTCTCTGTAAGCGGTCAAGGTTCTCTCTGTTCTCCCCCGCCGCCGCCATGGCCGTCATAATCTTCTTCTTACAACTCACACATCTGGTCCGTGTTGAGTTCAGGGGAAAAACATGACAGGCATTGCTTGCTTTATCCGATGAACAAAAGGGGAAAGAAACGCTTAGAATTGAAAAGGCTTGAGCCATTTTCTCTTTAGAAAACGTTGTTGCTGTTGTTTTTACACTGTTGTTGGCTTGTTTGGTTCGAGGGAAAATAAGGTGAGAAAAATTGGAGTTCTGGTGAGCTGTGTGAGCATAGCAGCCGCAAATTTGATTTTTTTAAAGGGACCGGAAGAGTGGAGATTTCTGGAGAAAAGTTTTCTAGATTTCTCCAGAAATAAAGTCCTTGTATTGGAAAAGGTTTCACAAGATGATTGACCAGCTCGTGTCCACTGGTCGAACTGCGAATTTTATACTCATGTTCAATTTTTTTTTTTGAGAATACAATCAGTACACATGTTCAAATTCATTTATTGTTAGAAGTAAAACTAATTTATAATTTGGATGTTCAATCTCATTTTAAATTATAATTTTTATTTAATTTTTTAATATTTCAGTTTATATCAATATATTTTAATCATATTTTTTAATAAAATTGTTAGATCATATTATCTTATTATATATTTAAAAAATAAAAATAAAAATTAAATTAAAATTGATTAGATATTAAATAAATTTAAAAATAATTAAAATGTTCAAAAAAAGTTCAAATCAATTTAGAACAAAAATCATAGTTTGAAAATGAAATTAAAGTGTTTAAAACTTAAAACATTAAATTAAAATAAGAATTACAATTTAAAGATAAAATTAAAATATTTAAAAATTTAAAGTTATTTTAAAAATAGAAATAATAATTTAAATATATATAATATAATTAATTTTATTTTAAATGACTCACAATAAACTAATAATTTTTTTTCAATTTAAACAATATTCTCAAAACTAATTCACTCTCAATTAATTTAATTCGATTTTAAAATATTTCAATTAGTTTGACTCGATTTTAAATTATTTAAGTATGTTTAATTCCATTTTAAATTATTCAAATTATTTATCGATCTTAAATAAATTTTAAATTTTACAATCGACTTAATAAAACAACCAATATATAATATTTTAGTATATTTTTAATAACCGACCCACTCTCGTATTGTTTATAAGGTATTTTTTTGAAACTCTAAACTCAACTTATAAATTACCAAGGCTTACAGAGAAAAAGCCCGTGATCTTCATCCTGATAAACGATAAGATGATCCAAATGCCCATGACAATTTTGTAAACCTCAAATCCTCGTACGGTTGACGACAAAGCTCGTAAGCTCTTCGATGATCTACTCCGTGTGAAACGTGAACAGAAACATCGTTCGGCACAGCAAGACTCAAAGCGAAGGAAAAAAATGATGTCAGATTTGGAAGTAGAGAACGTTCTTCTTTTGCTCCGGGTCCTGCTGTGATAGCTAAAGAGGAAGAAGAGAGAATTGCAAGAAAATTCAGAGGAGATTGCCATAATACGTGCAGCAATGCACGTGAATAAAAGTGCGGCTAGTGCTGAGTTGTATAAAGAGAAGGTTTTAAAGGTTTCTTGGGAAAGAATTGGGGAAGATTATACACCGATGAAGCTAAGGCAAATGTTTTCCAGGTTTGGGGAAGCGGAGGATACTGAAATCAAAAGCTCAAAGAAAAAAGGGTCTGCTCTAGTAGTCATGGCTACTAAAGAAGCAGCTGCTGTTGCTATCGGAAGCATTACCGGGGATCTACACAATCCATTGCTGGTCATGCCTCTTAAACCGGCAATTGTTGCACATGTTCCACCTCTCCGGAAAGCTGACAAACCTGATTGTTTCAGTAATCTGGTTGAGGCTGGTTTTTGAAGATTCTGTTTTATCTAAACTAAAGAAGGCCGCCGAAAACCGACCAGTAAACCAATTGTTCTCCCTAAAATAGTATATACTTTATGTATCCAAGTATGACAAAGTTCTAACAAATTTGAATGTCGAACTTTCTTACTACAAAAACATTAAATATGTGCATGAATAAACTGTTCGGAACTTCTGAAGTTAAGAATTGTGCACAACGAAACATATATAAATGATGAACAAAACTTTGCAGCCGAAATTTTGTGTTAATTATTACTTTTTGCCTGAACACATGCAGCATCCAAATCCAGTTCCCATGGCTAGTCTTTCCTCAACCTTCAACCCTAGCAAGTGAAATAAAAGTTGGAAAACGAAATCATTCAAACCCTTCGAATGGATCAAGGATAAGATAAAATGATAAAGACTGTTCGATATTCCAATATTCAATGCGACTGTGTGATACGAATATGTTCATATCCTCATACCCTATGTTCCTATGTTGTTCTGATATTTCATTTTGCTTTCGAGTATCTATGTCCAATACTCGTGTCCGAGAAATATTAGGACATGAGTACGATGATATAACTCATTAAGGACTTTCTAAATGCATAAAAGAAACTTAAAATATATAAATGCTTACATTGGATAAATACATACTCCAGAACAATAAAGAAAGCAAATATGGTAGAAAACTTACTAGGACTTTTCTGTGGATTTTTCCTCCGACTCAGAATCGGCAGAATTTAGTGATGTTATCTTCCCGAACGACTCTTTTGCATCACCAAAGAAGTCTTTCACTTTATCAACCACTGTTTTAAGCTGGTCTTGTGTTGGAAGCTGAATTCCATTTGGAACATATATTATGTTAGTAAGTTGATAAAGGCTATCTTACTAGGATCGGTAAGTGTCGGACATTGATATATGTCCAACACGGGTATGTTCAACTTTCTTTTCCGATATTATCAACAACAAAAAAATGTATGCTCACCTCGATAACATCATTGGTAGCAACTGCAGCTTTGATATTACCATTTTCCTGCACATTTAGCATACAATCAAGACAACAAAGCAGTGAGTTTCTTCATCATGTAGGTGCACTAAACAAACAGTTCTAATAAATTATGTTATTTCAACAAACAAAATATCTGTGTCTGACACTGGTATGCAGCCCATAATTGAACATGGGCATGAGAATACGATCTTCCAGAAACCCTTCAAATATATCGATAAACATAAAATAAAAGAATAAACATACTGGTGTCAGACACAAATATTCGACATTTCACCGAGTCTGAATAACATTGTTGAAGATAATAAAGGAAGAAAACCAACGATGAATTGAACTTTATAAAATATAAGGGTAAAAACATTACAACAAGTTTGTAACCATATCTGAACTCAGTGGCAGATTGCAATACTCGGAATTGTTTAAATGCTGTCTTTTGTATCTCCTTCTCATCCTATTTGCCAAAAAAGAAAAAGTAGTCAAGAAAACCTGAGAACTCGGATTGAAATAGTGGAAAGTAATTAACTTTGAAAAAGTCAAAATCCGAAAGCATGAAACATTCATATGTTATGTTGCTCGAGTTTTTCATTTTTGTTGAAGTACCCATTTCCGACCATATTTGGAACACAAACTTGAAAATATTGGGAAGTTGAACATATACACTTCGGATAAATACCCATGTCCAACAATCACACCGACTCCACTAACATAGTTCATATATGTTATTTGATAATTGATAGTGCTAGAATTCTACTAACATCAATATTGGAGTTGGACAAGCTTCAAATCTGTGATAAATATTGATGAGAGTTACTCGGCAGTTGGCACAAAACAAGTGTCAAATTCAGTTTTTTTTCCCCAACAGCATAGCCAAATTTCAAGGGCCAAAATTATAACTTTGGACAAACCTGCAAGTTTAGGTTCAATGAATCCTTGAATGAGGTTGACACTAACATTATCTACTCGAGATAAGTAATCATTCGCAATAACATTGTGTCTTCCTATTAACTAAGCATTAAAAAAGGCACAGCAACACAAAACAAAAGAAGCAAAAGGAAAACCAACTAAAAATCGATCCTATAAAAGCAAAAGAGTGTTATAGAAAGCAAGTACTCCAGATGGGAGCCAAAAAATGATAGAAAAATGCTAAACAACTCTCATATTATTGGGAAAATAATGATCTGATGGAGAGATAATGTCAGGGTCGAGAGAATTTACTCTGTAAATAACTGCTGCGAGATTTCTGGCAAGCGTATCCTTGTAGATGTATTTTCCCAGGAAATTGTCCTTTGCAGCAACCATGATCTTTGCGGTGGTGCCACCAGTTATAATACTAAGCGGGTACCAAAGATTAACCTGCAAAAGCAATGAGACTTTTAATAGTCAAGAAAAATGCAGCAACATCATTTATATTAAGAACAATACATACCATGCATATAAATACCTACAACTATTATAGAAGCTAAAATAAAATCATTTAACCAAATCCCATATCCACCGCAACAAGGGGTGTTTACTAGCCGAACTAATTTCATGTTATAAGAATCTCGAGGTCAAGTTTGAGTTAAAATTTGAAGCTTGAAACTCAACATGAGCTCAGTCAAGTACCGATTTAAAGCTCAATTGCCATGCTTGATTTCAAGCTCGGTCATTTTTGCCTGACATCGAGTTTGGATTGAACTCGAATTAAGTCTTAAGATAGTCGAATTCGATTGACTCGATAGATTGAGCAGCTTTTCAGTATAATTAAAAAAAAACTCGAATAAGCCCATGAGTTACTCGAATTAAGTGTAAAGATACTCAAAGTTTATTGGTTATATATAGCTTGGGTCCATTTCAATCTTAATTATTATACTCGAACTCAGAATCATCTAGCTCAAGCTACTCGAGCTTGAGCTCAGTTCTATACTAACTGAACCGAAGCCGAATAACTTGTGAATATAGGAAACATAATAAATACTTTTTTCAAGGAACGTTAATAATAGGAAACTAAGCATTTGTTAGTAAGGAAAAGAAACAAACATTGGCCATGCGTATGAAGATAACAAAGCGAGGGTTGCCATCGTCTTCAATCTTAGGCAAAGGAGGAGGAGGTGCCCTTTGGAACTGACGCGCCGCCATTCCTTTCTTCCCTTTAGCTTCGACCACCAACTTCCCTCCTCCATGTAACTGTCTCCGGCTCTGCTGCGGCGGCGGCAGCCGCAAGGGCGCCGTTTTCGAACTGAACAGCGAGTGTTTCACTAACCCATCGACCGGTTCGTGTTGGGTTCTCGAAGTACTCGACAGAGGAAGCCTCACCAGCGCATTTAGCGACATTGCAACCTCCAAATAACTGAGAGGATGAGATTTTGAGAGATAATTTATCTGAGTGGGTCTTATCCACGCTTTGAGGATTTACTGAGAGAAAATAAAATAAAAATTAATATCCAACAGACACGTGGCGTTTTATCATACCCACTATAATTTTATAGTAAAAAGCTTACTTCATTTTACGGGTGATAAATTTTATTTTATTATTATTATTTTTGTGATTGTTCAAGTAAATTGTAACGTCTATATGTTTATCTTTTTAACGTAGTGAAATATATATTTATTTGATAATTGTTTTATTATTTAAATTATAATTTGAAATTTTACAACTATTATGATATTTTACGTTTATATATTTAAATTATAAATTTATTTTTAAGTAAATAATAATAAAAGTTTAATATATATATATATATATATATATATATAAATATTTGATAGATGTGTCACTGACGTATCAATTGAACTAAATTCAATTGATGTATCTCAAATTTATTAAGTGAAATTATCTTATAATATTTATAAAATTCTCCAATATTAGATTAGTTTTTGAATATTTGACACATTAATCACACTTTTCAAAATACATATTTGATAGATATGCTTTCATCCTACACGATTCCAGAAAGATTGGAATGTTACATTTAAAAAATCATATTAGAGATGAATTTAATTTTAATATATAATCTTAAAAATAATATATATAGGTTAAAGATAATTTGTATTTATTTAAATAATTAAAGATGAATGTCATTTTAATATATATTTTTAAAAGTTAAAAATTGGAAATTGGAAATTGAATTCGAAAACTTTCTGAAGAACTGATCAAACCTTCATCACCAATCCCAGGTCACCTTCGTAATGATCTACTCCGCCCCCGATTTCCATGCCATTGTTAATGTTCCACCCCGAACAAGGTTCCGACAACGACAACCGATTTAACGCACTTACCTTGACTGTCATGGTTTGTTTTTTATTTTCCTCGGAGTGTCACGTGTGGTCGGTAGAGATGGCAAACGGGTACAATTTCATGGATTTCATACCGTACTCACTCAATTGGGATGGGGATGAATATAACTTTAGTTGGTAGTGGGCGGATGTAGATTTAGAAAGTGATACCTGTTGCGGGTAGTGGGCGGGTGATGGGTTTGAGACCTTACCCGCCCGGCATCCGCCCGCCCTACATCCACCCGCCCACTAAATACCCATTAAATTTTGGATCATTATAAATTTAGGTATAATTTTAGAGACTAATTTATAAGTATTAATATTGTATAAGATATAACTTATAATTTAACCAAATATTAGGCATAATTTTATAGACTAATATTATACTTCTTAATGGACGTGTTTTTTTATTTGTTGCTTGTGTATAACTTAAGGTTGTTGTCAGGCGGGTTTAGCAGAGTACGTCTCCAGTTGGGTAGTGAGCGTAGGGATGGATTTGAGAATGTACCCGCGTGGGCGGGTGTGGATTTGAAAAATTTTACCCATTATGGGTGGTGGGCGGGTGGTGGATTTGAAAATTGTTGAAAACATGTTGATGTTTCGATATAACAAATTAAATTAAATGAATTTTAAGATTTCACAAATGATTTTCTAAGTATATTCGATTTAATTACTCAAATATCAAATTATTACTCTAAGTATTTCAAGATCAATTTCAAACCTTAGTAAATGTGTAAAATTAAGTTTTATACTTAAACAATTTTTGAAACAATTTTCACAAAGTATTTTGAACCAAAATCAAGCCTAAAATCAATTTTTCAAAGTGATGCACCGATGCACCAATCCATAAATCGATGCACCAATTAATTTTTCAAACATCGAATGCATTTTATACATCGATGCATTTTATACATCGATGCACATACCATGCATCGATGCACTCAGTGCATTTGATGCATCGATGCACAAGAACATGCATCGATGCACTCAGGCTTTTTCAAAACATCGAATGCATTTTATGCATCGATGCACTCTTAGTGCACCGATGCACTGAGAGTTCAACGGTCAAAATATTTGAATTTTACACTGATGCACCGATGCACCTAGGGTATGCATCGATGCACTGACGCTCCCAACTGCTTTAATTAATTGTTTTCACACTTAAACGACTCTATTGACTCCACTAATCATCCCCAATGTTCAGAATCATTTGAAGGTGTATTTCAACAAGCTTAGAAGCCATTGATCAACAACAAGAAACAACAATCAACAAGAATCAAGAGAGAATCAAAGAGAAAGCATAAAACCTCAAGTTTGAGCATTTCAAGCCTATTTTTCATTTAATATTCATTTTGCTTTCAAGAACACTACTTGTACTCAATTGTATTCATTTTTAATGTTCTTTTCTTTGTTCTAGAATTGTGCAAACAATCTACCTTGTGAGGATTTCCTTGTAAGTTTGCAAATTTGTAATCTTCTCTTTGAGAAAGAGTGTTCTCAAGAATTGTGGTATATTCTTGAGGGAGTTGTAAGGTTATCTCTTTGGCCTCAAAAGAAAGAACAAATTAGTGAATTTGTTGGAAAATCCTTAGTGTGGACAGCTAAGGTAGTGGACGTAGACTTTGATTGAGAAAGTCGAACCACTCTAAATCGTTGTGCAATTACTTTCAATTTTCTGCAAAAGCTTCCACAAAAATTTTAATTGCCAATTCACCCCCTCTTGGTCGATTCCGTCGATCGATTAACTCAACAATTGATATCAGAGCCTCACTCATTTGAAGGTTTAATCGCCTCTTGAGTCGATTCGGGAAGAGTTACATCGATTGTCAAGTCATCAATGGCCTCTACTTCAAATGTCGACTCCGGTCTCGATTCGATGCCCGTCAACAAGCCTCCCTTCTTCAATGGAGCTAACTATGCCTATTGGAAGAATAGGATGATGTATTTCATTCAAGCAAGTGACATGGGAGCATGGAATATTGTAGAAAACAAATATATCAAGCCTCTCACTCATCCAAGATTGTGGAGTAAAGGAGAGACAAGAATGTTCCAGCTCAACTCTAAAGCAATCCATATCATATTTTGTGCTCTTGGACCAGATAAATATGGAAGAGTTTCATCTTGTACAACCGCCAAAGAAATATGGGATAAACTACAAGTCACTCATGAAAGCACCGACGAGGTAAAAGAATATAAAATTACTCTTCTAACACATAGCTATGAAAATTTCAGGATGAAACCAAATGAAGATATCAAAGCTATGACGGATAGATTCTCAACGATTGTCAATGGTCTCAAATCATATGGAGAGATCATTCCAAACGAAAAGCTTGTGAGGAAGTTAGTTTACTCACTTCCAAAATCATGGCAATCCAAGAAGACTGCAATCATCGAGGCTAAGAACCTAAAGTCCTTAACTATTGAAGAGCTAATCGGTTCCCTCCTCACTCATGAAATGATGCTTGAAGATGAGGTGGACCTCGATAAGATTGACGAGACACCAAAGGAGAATGAGAAGAAGAAAAACATTGGAATTGCTCTCAAATCCACAAAAGATGAGAGTGATTCGGATGAAGATGACGAGGAAATGACATTGTTTGCCAAATGGTTCAGAAAAATGATGAGACCTTACCGAGGAAGAAAATTCAAACAAAATGAAGGCCTCAAAAATGAACCAAAAGATAAGGACCCTATCATTTACTATGAATGCAAAAAGTCGGGGCATGTCAAATATGATTGCCCACAATTGAAAAGAAAGCATCAATAAAAAAATAAGCACAAGGCTCATGTGGCTATATAGAGCGATGAAGAGGGTTCCGATGAAGAGGAACAAGAAGTAGCAAACTTGTGCTTGATGGCATTCGGGGAAGATTTTAAGGTAACCTCTAACTCATCTGAATTTGATGATTTATCTTATGATGAGCTATTAGAGGAATATAATGGGTTGGCTTCGGATTATGAGAAATTGTTTTTAAAATATAAAAATGATGTTTCAAAATTGAAAAATAAAAATAAACTCATATCCAAAACCAACAACTATCTTGAAAGTAAAATCAAAGATTTGCAAATCAAACTAGAAGAGTTTGAAAAGAATATTTTGGATTTACAAAATTTACTTTCAAAGGTCAATGATGATCATCAAAAGAAAATTGATGATCTTAAAACCTCTTTTGATAAAGTTTGAACAAAACGTTTTGAAAATGGAGAAAATTCAAAATCCAACTTTGTTAGAAAAAGTTTTAAAACTACAATCATAGAGGTCCCCGAAGAACCTCTAATGGAAAAATCGTTAGAAATATATGGGTTCCTAAAGAGCTCATTACTACTAAAGATAATGATATCCTACAAAAATGGATACCTAAGGGGACTAGGATTTTGGAAACTAATGAATATGGACCCAAAAGAATTTGGGTACCAAAAATTAGAAATTAATCTATGTTTGTAGGAAAAGGAGCATTGCTACAAGGCACGGAAACAAATTCAAATTTATGGTACCTTGATAGTGGATGCTCAAGACACATGACCGGGGACAAAAGCCAGTTCATAGAGTTTAATGCAAAAAATGGAGGAGAAGTGACTTTTGGTGATAATTCAAAAGGTTACATCAAAGCTATATGTAACTATAGGTAATACCTATTCCATACAAATTAAAAATGTTTTATATGTGAATGGATTAAAGCATAATCTCTTAAGTATTATTCAATTATATGATAAGGGATTCAATGTCATGTTTGAAACTAATGGTTGTAAAGTTATTGACATTGCATCTAATCGAATTATGCTTGTTGGTCATAGAATAGGAAACATATACATGGTGCATTTAGACTCTATTGATATGACTAATTTATGCCTAGTTGCTAAGGATGATCATGATAGTTGGTTATGGCATAGGAGACTAGGACATGCTAGTATGAGTGTTTTACAACGGCTAATTCAAGGAAATTTAGTTCGAGGGTTGCCTAAGCTTAAATTTGATAATGATAAAATCTTTGATGCTTGTGCTGAAAGAAAACAAAAACGAATTTCTTTTAAATCCATTAATGATGTATCAACTAGTAGAGTATTACAATTGATCCATATAGATCTTTTTGGGCCAACTAGAACTACTAGCTTGGGTGGAAAACAATATGCATTTGTCTTGGTAGATGATTATTCTAGATATACTTGGGTTTTATTCTTAATTACTAAAGATGAAGCATTAGAAAAATTCATCACGTTTTCAAAAGTAATCCAAAACGAAAAATGCTACTCTATAACTAGTGTTAGGAGTGATCATGGAACTGAATTTGAAAATCTTGGATTTACTGATTTTTGTAATTCTAATGGTATTAGTCATAATTTTTCAGCACCTAGAACTCCTCAACAAAATGGAGTTGTTGAGAGGAAAAATTGAACTTTAGAAGAAATGGCTAGAACCATGCTCTATGAAAACAATTTGCCAAAATAATTTTGGGCGGAAGCCACAAATACCGCTTGTTATGTTGTAAATCGAGTAATGATTAGGCCAATCTTAAAGAAAATTCCATATGAAATTTTCAAAAATAAAAAGCCTAACATTAGCTATTTTCATCCTTTTGGATGTAAATGTTTTGTTTTAAACAATGGTAAAGACAATCTTGGCAAATTTGATGCTAAAAGTGATTAAGGAATTTTTTCTGGGTTATTCCTTAAATTCTAAAGCTTATCGAGTATTTAATAAAAGAACTTTAGTTGTAAAAGAGTCTATACATGTTGTTTTCGATGATAATCCCATTCCGACGAAGGATTCTTGTTTGAATGATGATGTAGGTATTATAAATATAAATGACGGTGAACATGACGTTGGAGAACCATCATCAAAGGAAGAAATGAAAGATGAGGAAACTCAAGATCCTCGCGAGAATCCAACCATTGAAGAAAGGGAAGTATCTTACCCAAGAGAGTACAAATATGTCAAGGATGGTGAGATTATAGGTGATCCATCAAAAGGGGTAACAACTCGATCTTCTTTTAGAAATATTTGTAATTATGTTGCA